TCACACTTGCTACACTAAAGAGCTCCACTAGATGAACTTAAGCTACAAAACAAGCTCTCAAATCTAGCTACACTAAAGAGCTTGGTACAACTAGTTTGCGGGGATGTAAATGAGTAAGTAAGGTGATTATACCGCCGCATAGAGGAGTGAACCAATCACAAGATGAATACTAACTCAATCAATGGGAGAATACCAAAGGGCAAGAGACAACCAATTTTGTCCTGAGGTTCACGTGCTTGCCAACACGCTACATCCCCGTTATGTCGACCAACACTTGGTGGTTCGGCGGCTAAGATGTGTTGCACGAACCTCGTCCACATAATTGGACACCGCAAGAACCTACCCACAAGTGAGGTAACTCAATGACACGAGTAATCCACTAGGGTTACCTTTTGGCGCTCTGCCGGGGAAGGTACAAGTCCCCTCACAACCACAGGGAGATGTCCACGAACAATCACCAACTTATGCCAATCCTCCTCCGCTGCACCAAGTCGTCTAGGTGGTGGCAACCACCAAGAGCAACAAGTGAATCCCGCAGTGAAACACGAATACCAAGTGTCTCTAGATGCAATCACTCAAGCAATGCACTTGGATTCTCTCCCAATCTCACAAAGATGTTGAATCAATGATGGACATGGGTGGGAGGGCTTTGGCTAAACTCATAAAGTTGCTATGTCAGTGTAAATGGCCAAGAGAGTGAGCTTGAGCCGGCCATAGGGCTTAAATAGAGAGCCCTCGTGAATAGAGCCGTTGGCTCTTTGTTCTCTGAAAAGTCAGGGCGATCGGACACGCCGGTCAGATCGACCGGATGCAGGACCCCAACGTCCGGTCGCGCGATGCACGCCACGTGGCCCCTGCTTCAAATACTGATCGCCTGATCTCAACGGTCATCAGTACATTTAAGTTATGATCGGACGCACTACAGTGTATGACCGGACACAGGACCCCAGCGTCCGGTCACTTTTAGTAAGGTACCACTCGTGATCGGACGCGTCCGGTCACACCCGACCGGACGCACCCAGTGTCCGATCACTCTCTCTCTTCTCTGTGTGCCACCACATCAGCATGACCGGACGCTGAACATTGTTCAGTCTGCGTCCGGTCAAGAGACCGAGGGCGGCCTTCACTGCGCGCCACTGACCAGACATAGGACCAGTGTCCGGTGCACTATGAGAAACCCTATCTTTTCTGTACAGGGCGCCGGTGGCACCATCGAACTGTCCGCACTCCACCAGTGAAGTTTTGAACCCTTGCTTCCAAGTGCTAAACACAATGTGTATCACCTTTATACATATGTGTTATCATATTTTCACAAATATTTTCAAGGGTGTTAGCACTCCACTAGATCCTAAATGCATATGCAATGAGTTAGAGTATCTAGTGGCACTTTGATAACTGTATTTCAATATGAGTTTCACCCCTCTTAATAGTACGACTATCGAACCTAAATGTGATCATACTCGCTAAGTGTCTTGATCACCGAAACGAAATGGCTTCTACCACTTATACCTTTGCCTTGAGTCTTTGTTTTTCTCTTTCTTCTTTTCAAGTCTAAGCACTTGATCATCACCATGGCATCACTATTATCATGTCATGATCTTCATTTACTTCACCACTTGGAATGTGCTACTTATCTCATGATCACTTTGACAAACTAGGTTAACACTTAGGGTTTCATCAATTCACCAAAACTAAACTAAAACTTTCACTTCCTCTCTCTCCTCATAAATATCTTGCCACCTAAATAGATTTGTTGATGTGTCACATCATTTAGGCCCCATTTGGCAGGGCTTCACTTTACTAGTGAAGCCATTTTTTTGGTTTTAGCTCCACGAACAGATCCACCGGTGGAGCTAAAGCTGTTTTGATAAACCGTTTGGCAAAACGATTTTCCTATGAGAACATGTTTTTAGGGGCATGGAGGAGGAGTCGGGAGAAGCCACTTTTTTTACTCCATCCCACCCCAAATCAGTGTGCGAGCATGTTTTTAGGAGCTTCACCAGTGAAGCCATTTCACTTAATCTCATTTGGCAGAAAACGGCTCCAAACGACTCTGAAGCCGATGAAGAAGCCTTGCCAAACGGAGCCTTAATGAGAATAAAACCCCTTTGAAACCCCACTGAGACCGGCCGAATTTAGTTGAGCCTAGGCACGTCTAGACAAGACGGTTTCTAAACGTGTCACACATACATATATTGTCTTAAATAAAAAAAGAAAATAGAGGATCTATGGATCTAGAGTTGGACACAAAGGCCCATCAAGGAGCCCAGCCCACTTTATCCATACACCTCCCCCTAGCCGCATGCACCACACTGCTTGATTCCATAATTTTAATAAATTCAATAGGTGGCCAAGATGGTCATCAGCCATTTGATAAGGGGAGAATATCTTATTAAGAAGAATGACAAGGAACTAAGTTATCTACCTCATGCTATACTTGGCAAAGTTGACTTGGTGAGTACATGAGTTCATGTATGACGGGGCCGCTAAGCTAAAATCAGTTGGGTGGTTCATCTCTGATGACTTACTAATGCACTTTATTATGGTCTGTTTGCCAGAAAGTTATAAGAAGTGTACTCAGAATATAATGCTCACATTCTAAGTCTATAATTTTCGTAAATTACTGATCACATGCAAAGGGACTATGATAAGTTTAATGAATGGCTTCAAACGAAAGGTAATAAAGTTATCTCATCAGTTTTTTTCCAAAGATCCTTTCCCCTAACACATGGTGGCTTCAAAAGAAGGTTAATAGATTATAAGTCAGAAAGTTATCCATATGATATCCTAAGGGCAGCTCCAGTGTGTCATTGATTTTCTGCTGCAAAACTTTTAGCATGACAGAGAGTAAGTGCCCACATTGTAGAATTCGATTTGTGAAAATGGCAATTGGGGACGTCAACTGAAAAAGTCTATTTTCTCTCTGTTTGGGTCTCCGATGTGTGGCTGGGCATGCACTCTCTGAAGGCTTGTGTCAGATGTCGGCATACTTTCTTCACAACGATGGATTTTTATTTACTATGGTTCGACGCATCTGCAGGATGCGATTTTGATTCCAACATGCATGGTTTGATTCCTATAATGTTTTGTGTTCGGTTTTCTAGCCTCACGATTCGATTTGGCTCAACACTGGAGCTGCTCTAATAAAGCCAATGGATATTGAACTAGATATTTTTACTAAGTTGTTGAGACATAACAAATTGTGTTCCTATAGGATGCAAAGATCAGTGGAAGCTAGTAAGACCTCAGAAAGGCGGAAGATTAAATCTTGAAGAGATACATGCTTAGGTTCCTGTACCAATGATTGAAAAAGACATGAACGTCTAAGTTTGTGGCACAAGTTGTTTGTATAGCTCCATTCAAATTACTGCAATTGTCGTTGAGAATTCTCATGAGTCAGTTAAGTGAACCAAAATAGGAAAACTTAGCAACGGATCAACACGATAGGAAGAGCCTCGATTATTTAGCTAGTTGTGATTTCTAGTAAACCTATAAGATGATCACATCTGTAGAGGTCTGTTATTCTAAACTAGGTAAATCCATGGGTTTAAGTCTATAATAAGCTTATATAAGTATGGGTGTTAGTAAAAATCCTAATAAAATCAAAACAGTAGGCTATAAAAAGAGACTACGAATTTGAATGTGACTGTAGTTTAGAATTTTTAATAGATGGAAAACTGTGTTCAATCTTAAGTCAAATGGTGGAAAAGTTTTTTTTTGTCTTAGTACTCTACATGGGTTAGGTTTTGTCAACATGTAGCAATAAGAATATGCTACACAAGAGTTTTCTGTCGCCCAACTTACTCCCTCCGTCCTAAATTATAAGTCATTCTAACTTTCTTGGAGAGTCCATGCATCTCAAGTTTGACTAAATTTATATAACAAAATAATACTTATAATACCAAGTACGTATCGTTAGATGTTTTCATAGTATACCTATTTGATGTCATAAATCTTTGTCATTCTCTCTATAATTTTGGTCAAACTTAAGATGCTCTAACTCTCTAAGAAAAGTTGAAATGACTTATAATTTGGGACGAAGAGAGTACAAAAGATCTTGGTGAAGTCTCTAATGGTAGTAAGATACATCGACACACGACCAAACAAGTATTAGGATTACCATAGAATACACATCGGTTAAATTTTTAAGTGATATAAAAGTTTGAATAAGTAACGCGACGCCTGTTCTATTTGCGTAATCTAGTAAGTTTGGTTATCCTAAATATCCAAGTTAGAATCAATTGAGGAGGAAAGACGTTCTCTATGCTTACACTTAGGTTGTGGCATTATTTCAATTAATGGCACATCAATTGGCGATGCAAAACATATTGATTCAAAATTATGTTGCGAAAAAAGCCAAAATCAAATCATTAAAGTACTAAACTAATGTTAGCAATTAGCATGTGTGCTTATTTGAGACTTACCACTTGTCCCATTTAGAAATGTGCAAATCAGTATGATTTTTCAGTGAAGAGTCTCTAACCTGATTAAGATACAAGGCCATATAATTTACTCAGAATAAATATAGGTATATTACGGTGAAATTTGGTTTAGTTAAGTTTTTTTTTAACATTTTTGGTTAAGGGGTTTTAGCAGCGATGGAAGTGGGTAAACCCAAAGTCGTGTAATGGGTTGCTGGGTCAACCCCAGCCGTACTTAGCCCACGAAACAGCCGCAGCCGGCGGCCCAGCCCACGGTGTAACCCTAGATATATATGCAGCAGCAGTGTTGCCGCATCCACATCCCCGCCCCAGTCGGTTGCCCCTCCTGCAGGTCGCCGCCGCTCGCTCTCTCTCTCTCCCGACCACCGCGCCACCGCCCACCGCTCGACGCATAAGCTGCCGCTCCCCGAGTCTCGACAAACCGTCTACGCGACCGGCGCCCCTCCCTCCCCTTCGGTGTCGCCGTCTGCATCCTCCTCCGGTCCTCCAAAGGTGAGTCCCGACCTAAACCTAATTCACAAATTACGTAGCAGTAATTAGAAGATCTCCACTCTCGAGATGGATTCGGTAGGAAGGGTTACAATGCGAATTCGGTAGGAAGGGCCACATGTTCGAGATGCGAATTTGCTCCATGCGCATGACCAGGATTGTCTAGATGCATATCTGTACTATTGTTACGTTCTTTTGAACTGATGACAAGGTTAGGTTGAACTGATGCATATCTGGAAGACTTGAACTGTATATTCTAGTTCCAATCCTGTATTAGCAAATATTATATCATTTTTTTTCATTTGTGAACAATCCAATTTGGGCTGAACCTTGTATTGGGATATGATCTAATGACAAGTGTATACGTGTATTATATACTAACTTCGACTATTTTGCAAAAAATATTGGGAGTGCATGTGTACCCCCATGTCGCCTGCCCCTGCTATGCCGAACTTTATCTTCTGTTTCATAGTCACTGGTTTTTTAAAGTCATTTTTCTAAGGATTGATTCACTATGATACTCTCTTCAAATTTGGTACCCGAATTATTTTACTTTTGTGTCAGCCCGGCCTCCAGTTTAATGCAGTTTCCACTTTTTCTTCTGTTTTTTATTGATTAATTATAGCTTATTCTTGGTGTACTCTTTGCAGAGCTTGAGTATTGTAGAAGCTAAAGAAGCAGCCGGAACCATGGCATCCCGTTTCTGGGGACAGGTACTTGATTTCTTTCGCGCAATGAAACCAGTGTGCCAGTATATTCATGATGTGCATACTGAAGAAATTGATCCAATTGTTGTTGATGCAAGAATCTAACACTTGCCTGGTCCTTTGCAACTTCAGGGGGACAGTGAGTCTGAGGAGGAGGAGGAAGAAGTCGAGTCAGAACAGGGCAGTGATAGTGATGATGATGGAGGCCGTGGTGATGCGGGACGCAGCAGTGGTGGAAACCGCTATTTGAAGAACCAAGAAGATGACAGCGATGAGTCTGATACGGGTCACCGCGTAATCCGCTCCCTGAGGGACAAGCGCAATGAGGAGATGAGATCTATTGTTGATCAGATGCGTAATGCAATGAAGATCAATGACTGGGTTAGCTTGCAGGAGAGTTTTGAGAAGCTTAACAAACATCTTGAGAAGGTTGTTCGTGTCAATGAATCCACTGAGGTTCCAAAGATGTATATCAAGGCTCTTGTGTTGCTGGAGGACTTCCTTGCTGAAGCCCTTGCAAACAAGGAGGCCAAGAAGAAGATGAGCAGCAGCAATGCGAAGGCACTCAATGCGATGAAGCAAAAGCTCAAGAAGAACAACAAGCAGTATGAAGAGCAGATCCAGAAGTGCAGGGATCATCCAGAGAGTTTTGAAGATGAAGCTGCGGATGATAAAGATATGGATGATGATGATGACGATGATGCTGATGAGAGTGATGCAGAGATTGAAGATCCTGATAAAATAGCTATGTCAGAATCAGAAGAGGAACGCGATGAAGATGATGATGACAAGGAAGGTTGGGAACAGAAGAGGAGTAAGAAGGATAAGCTGATGGATAAGCAGTTCTTGAAAGATCCAAGTGAAATCACATGGGATATTGTTGATAAGAAACTCAAGGAGATTGTAGCATCAAGGGGAAAGAAAGGTACTGGAAGGATCGAGCGTGTTGAGCAGTTAACATTTTTGACCCGTGTGGCCAAAACACCAGCTCAGAAGCTTGAAATCCTTTTCCATGTGATTTCTGCGCAGTTTGATGTCAACCCCAGTCTACTTGGGCATATGCCAGTCAATGTGTGGAAAAAGTGTGTCAATAATATGCTTCTTGTGCTTGATATACTCCAGCAGTATCCTAACATTGTAGTAGACACCTCATTTGAGCCTGATGAGAAGGAAACTCAAAAGGGTGCAGACTATAATGGAACAATTCATGTTGTCGGTGAACTGGTTGCATTCCTCGAGAGACTGGACTCTGAATTTTTGAAGACCTTGCAGTGCACAGATCCATACACAAAAGATTATGTTCAGAGGCTTAGAGAGGAACCCCTGTTTTTGGTTGTTGCACAGAATGTCCAAGATTATCTTGAGAGGGTTGGGAACCTCAAAGCTGCTGCCAAGGTTGCTCTGCGCCGTGTTGAACTGGTTTACTACAAACCCCAAGAAGTGTATGATGCAATGAGAAAACTCGCAGAGCAGCCTGAGGACAGTCTGGATGATGATGATGCAGAGGCTGGTGATGAACATCAAGCAATAGATGACAATAGAGGACCATCACCATTTATTGTGATTCCAGAGGTTGTGCCGAGGAAGCCTACTTTTCCAGAGAGTGGTAGAACTTTGATGGATGGATTGATGTCCTTAATTTACAAGTATGGAGATGAAAGGACCAAAGCCCGTGCAATGCTGTGTGACATATATCACCATGCGATCTCTGATGAGTTTTCAGTGGCTCGTGACTTGCTTTTAATGAGTCATTTGCAAGATGGTGTTCAGCTCATGGACATATCATCACAGATTTTATTCAATAGAGTCATGGCCCAGTTGGGGCTGTGTGCTTTCAGGGCTGGTTTGATAAATGAAGCCCATGGATGCTTGACCGAGCTCTACTCTACTGGGAGGGTGAAAGAATTGCTTGCACAAGGTGTGCAACAAAGCCGATACCATGAAAAAACTCCTGAACAGGTAAATCTAAACCCCTATGCAACTCATCCTTTTTTCTTGTAAATGCTCACACAAGCAAAACACTAGTTGGAAAATTTTATGTGTGTCAATTGATAATATTTTCACAGTAGTATCCCCCTCTTGTATCTGTTAATTATTTATGTTTCTGTTGCTTTTTTAATATGATTAGAATGCTCTATCCTGTTTTATGCAGTAATAATTCTGACCCATATCACAAAATTTTACATTTTTCTACGTTGGGCTGTACTTATGCTTTATTACACAGATGTAGTTCCTTTATGCTACTTGTAGTTACTCTTCTTTATTAAATATTAGAGCAAACTGCATATTAATTTTATTATTACATTCTTTACCTGTAGACTACAATTGTGGTAGTTTTATACAAGGAAAAGATGATTGTTTCCTTTTGGTTATATCAGTGTTAATGATGTAGTCACCCTATCACTGCAGGAAAGACTTGAGAGGAGAAGGCAAATGCCTTACCATATGCATATAAACCTGGAACTTTTGGAAGCCACACACTTGATTTGTGCTATGCTGATTGAAGTCCCCAATATGGCTGCCAGCACTTATGACAAGCGGAGGCCTATGAGCAGAACATTCCGAAGGCTTCTTGAAGTGAGTGAAAGGCAGACGTTTGTTGGGCCGCCAGAGAACGTGAGGGACCATGTAATGGCTGCCACAAGAGCCCTCAACAAGGGTGATCACCAAAAGGCTTTCAGTGTCATAAATTCGCTGGAGATCTGGAAGCTTTTGAGGAACAGAGATCATGTTCTTGAGATGCTGAAGCTTAAGATCAAGGAGGAAGCTCTTAGAACCTATCTCTTCTCATACTCGTCTTGCTACGAGTCCTTGAGCCTTAACCAGCTCACCACCATGTTTGATCTCAGCGAGCAGCATGCTCACAGCATTGTTAGCAAGATGATGATGCATGAAGAGCTTCATGCTAGTTGGGACCAGCCAACAAAGTGCATTGTATTCCACAGTGTGGATCAAACTAGGCTTCAGGGGCTACTCTTCCAGATGGCAGATAAGCTCTCGGTCCTGGTGGAGAGCAATGAGAGGGCATACGAGGCAAGAACTGGTGGTACTCTTGAGGGGGTACCGCCACCCAGACGCAGGGGTGAGGGTCAGGACTCATCCAATATGGGAAAGTGGCAGGAGAACTTCGTCTCATCACAAGGGCGGCAGGGTGGTGGCAACCGGTTTGGATACTCTGGTAGAGGTGGAGGATCTGGTCAAAGTGGTGGGCACCAAAGGGACAGGGGCAATCAGGGCTCCCGTGGGGGCTACGGTGGCGGTTCACGGTTTCAGGATGGAAGGGGTCGCAACCAGTCTGGTTCCTCAGCCAGGGGTGGTGATGGTGGTGCTCGCATGGTGAACCTAAACAGGGTTGGTAGAGTTTAGGTGTGATAATTCTCAGCTCAAGGAAGCCTGAAGTTCTCCCAAAGGCCAAGTTTTGAAGCACTGCTTTTTCCATAATTACAAACTTCTGTTCTAAACTCAGTCGTTCACCTATTTGCTCTATTTCGTTGTAGCCTTTTAATTCAAGGGTCTAGGAAATTGAACTAAGAGTTTGGTACTCTGGTTTGTGTCGTGGGAGTGAGACGATGTATTCGCTCCTATATTTGATGTCTACTTGTGACTCTTGCTATAATGCTATACTTTTCGTATTTGTGTTTACTCTGCGCTGATCTGCTTGTTGCTTGTGTATGATACAGATTTGTTAACAAGTTCTGGTGCCTTTATGCTGTGTGGTTGGAGCCTTGGAGGAATAGGCCATGGGGTGGTCTATCCTCTCTCTCTCTCTCTCTCTCGCTAGCTTCGCGTGGAATGGAATGAGTTAATTTATGATCAAGTCATCTGTCACATGCTTATAGCAAGTATTTTTTATGGCTTTGCTTCGGGTCAACTCTCGAAGGCTAATAACCAGTACAAGCATGAGACGTGGTTATATTGTCTAAAAATCGTGGAACGAACGCATCATGAGAAATGTGGTTATTTTCTACTTCCTCCGTCCACAAAAGAATATAATTATGGGAAGCGTGCTGGTTAAACTGGTTTAAGTTTGACCAATTTTATAGTAAATAGTATTAATATTTATGTCTTCAAATAAATTTATTATAAAAACATATTCTATAACTAATCTAACCATACTTATTTTGTATCGTTAGTACTTTTTTATATAAATTCAGTCAAAGTTTAAATGGATTGACTTCTCGAAAAATAAGAATTGTATTCTTTTGTGGACGGAGGGAGTATGAAAATTGTGGGATGGAATGAACTCCATATCGATCTAGAATGAGGTTGGTTCAAAGGACCAAATACCACCTTAGTTATTTAGTCACACCACTAAACTTTGGTACAAATAAATTGTTATTTAGTCACACCACTAAACTTCATCTATCGTGTGTCGTTGCCTTTTATCCCCTTCTTTTATATGTCGAATCGAATAAAGTTGATTTCAGGGGAAAACAGTTACATTTAGCCATTTAGGTCAAAGAGTGAGCTACAATGGGTTAAAGCATCTCTTATATTGGTCACATAAGAAACAAGTTGTCCAATGCTGAGGGAGTATCATCAGAACTGTAAAGAAAATTGGGTGATGTAGTAGGATGGCGGTTACATTTAGGTCAAAGAGTGAGCTAAAATATGTTCAAGCTCCCTCCATTCCTTTTTATTTGTCTTTCTCATTTTCAAAAAGTTAATCGTACTCAACCTTGACCAAATATATATATTTATAGTACATAATACTAATTAGATAGATTGTTGAATCCATTTTCATGACAAACGTATTTGGAGATACAAATGTTGCTAACAAACAACAGTGTCACAGGACCAGAGCATTCCACGTGGACTTACCGAATAAATTTATTAGAAGCAAAAATTTACATGGGAAAAAAAGAAAAAAACAAAAACAAAAACCAAAAGAGCAGACAAGGGGACAAAGGGGCAGCTCGGAGTGAAGGGGAAGAGCCCCTCCACCAGCAACTACTAGCTAACCCAAAACCTGAATAAACAGCTACAAACAGCCAAAACCACTCGAACCACTCAAGCTTGGTAAAAAACCCAACTCGAGAGGGCCGCCAAGAATGCCGTATGTTGTATCACTTGCAAACAGCATTGGTGCAATGTTTCTGGGAGCTGAACCATCAACCCAAGAGCATAGCCAGAACGGTGCCAAATCCCCTTTATCCACTGACACAATTGTTGAAGCGAAAACTAAATCCCTATCCATTTTATCACAGGGCACATACATTCGTGCCCAAGCTCTCTCTGTATTTTTCCATTTTGTGCCCAAGCTCTCTCTCTATTTTTCCATTTAGTGCCACAACCAACATAATGGCAGTGCCCTAGCAAAAATCTCAAGGTCTTTAATTCCCAAGCCACCTTTCTCCTTGGAGAGAGTTCTTCCCATTTGACACAGGCAGTGACCGCCACTGACATGTTCTGGATCATACCCCTTCTCCTTCTTCAGACATTCTAAACAACGGAGTTCTACAGGCACTATTCAGACATTTCACCTTGCCTTTCTTTAGAAATAGTCGAATAGGACAACTCTCAACTTGTTATACCTACTAACTGCTGGTTGAGTACAACCTGATTCAACCACAGAGTATTCGTCCATCATGAGACTTCATTAAAGATTGCCTACTGGCAATGAGATAATAGCCATTTTTGTCTACATGACTTAGAATGGAAAATGATATAGTTACTACAGATGTATACTGCAGTTCTGAGTCACGAGCCATATGAACCATAAAGCGGGAGAAAAAAAATCAAAATAAAGTAAAAGAGAAGGCTATACTTTTGCAAATCATAAGAAATGAAATCTTTGGAACTTCCAGTACAAGCACGCATAAAGGTCACAGAGCTTTGATAAGCTCTTATGATCATTCCATATGTTGCTCTTTTCAGGGTAACTGGGTAAGGATGAAGTACTCTGCAATGCTGAGTGCTGACTTTTACAAATTTACATCATTACCTACAAGACAGGTAGCTGTCAAACTGACATGTCAATGAGATGTATTCATTTGCAATGTGACAGAGAATATTGTTCGTTTTCGTTTTTCCGTTTATCTGGCCACTGGCTTGCTATCCTTTGTGCTCTACTTAGACCTAAGTGGAGGAATAAGTGACCTGACATCATGCACCCTACTTACACTCAGTTGCTCACAGACAAAAAGGATGTCAATATAGTAAAGATTGCTATTCGTTTTGAAATATCCTACACGATGATTGAATCTTACTGAGTGTCAAATTTTGCCAAGGTAGAGTCACCTAGATTAAAAAGACTATATCTAAGCAAGGGTAACCTCATTTTCCCCATGAACATGTCAGAACAGAAATTCTTATTCTTAGCATGAAAATACAGTAAGACATGATAATCTATCTATAAGAGAATAGGGAGTGCTGATTTCACACCAGCTGGATTTTTCTGGCACAAGCTATCCTATCCCTGATCCATGTACCTCAAAATATACCACTAATATAAACATACTGCTTTCACAAAAAAATTTGGACAAGTACAGTTCTGTTAAAAGATAACTGAATATTCAAAAGCAGCCCTAAAAGGAGCATTAGCTGGTTAACATGCACTACTTGATTTTAGCAAAGGAAGAACCTTATTGGGTTAAGTCTGCTTAACATAGCTTCAGCAGTAGTAAATACACAGAATTGATTATATCTCATCTTGAAGATCAGTTCAGACATCTTTTCCCAATCATGCAAGAATGCAAATATCTTGAATGACCTAGCGCCCACTTTTTTATCTCTCTCTTAGTACACACACCAACCAATGTGTTACACTAAACAATTACTTATTCTCGCTATTTGTGTGAAACTTTTATGCTCACACGCAACTCCATGAAATGTGTCTTGCACATATTAAATTCTAAGAGATCTATGGCAAATAATCTAGGACCCTCAATTTCTCAATAAGACCAATTATGTTCATTCTTCATTGAATAATGCACAAAAGGCATAACAGATGCACCCTCTAAAATGGAACACTACTGACACTGATCTTATCCAATAAAACACTATTTGCCCTCCATGGAAGTTTCATCATGCTCAAAGTATCAAACCTTGAATAACCTCATAGTCCTAGCCTCCTAGGTCCAAACTCAAGGCAAAACAACTGCCATCTTTTTTGTTCAGGAAATGAACTTGAAATGTTATTCAGGATTACTATTACTCATGGAAATCATTTTACGAGCCTGGTAAAAGCAAAAAGATCTATAATAACTTCTGACAACATCCCATTACAAGTGGATTCAGTAAATGTGTCACACATCACATAATTATGTTGAGGCAATGCAAGCCGCAGTGATCACTAGCTCGAGTTTTTCAAGGAAACAGGCGAACCTACAGATCTTTCCAATAGCACTTGCTGAATTGAGGAATCAATTGAAGACAACATAAACAGGGCGTGCAATCGGAGAAGCTGGAACCTACTAGATCAGAAGTAGAGCCCCATCTGGACGTTCTTCTCCACGAACCCGCACTTGGCGTAGAACCCCTTCAGCTCCGTTGTGCAGTTGAGAATAACCTTGTAGCAACCCCTGCCCCTAGCGTGCTCCACCAGGCGGTGCACGAGCCGCTCCCCGAGCCCCCGAGCCCTCGCGGCGGCGTCCACCACCACGTCCTCCAAGTGGCCCACAAGGCCGCAGCGCCGGATGAACTTGCGCTCCACCAGCACCGCCCCCGCAGCGGCGAGGCAGCCCGTCGCAGCGTCCTCCGCTACGAGGATCAGGTGATCGGCGCCCAGCGTAGCGAGCTCAACGAAGCGCGCGCGAAAGGCTTCCTCTGAGAGGGGCGGGGAGGGGGAGAGCTGCGCGAGAAGGTCGCAGAGCCCCTTGGAGAGGTCGGCGAGCTCGAGCGGGCGGATGATGTACGCATCCCCTATGGCCTCCACGCCGGCGCCGGCGCCGGCCTCCGCGAGAGCGTGCGGCTGTTCCATGTGTCTACGGGTGCTACTGCTAGTCTGCTACAGCCGGGGAGGCTCCAGATGGTCACAAATACGGGCCTCACTCTCGATCCAATAAACTGATGGGCCGGCAGATCGCGTGTTTTCAACTGGGCCCAGAAATTTGCCGATGAGATCCAAAACTAACCGTTCAAAAAATTTTATTTTATTTTTTAAAGCCAAAAAAAAAAAATTTGAAAGCCCCGCCCAAACGCACAAAGAATCCCCAACTCAAATTCCAATCCCCAAACGGCCAAACCCTCTGCAGTTCGTCGCCATGGTCGCCGCCGCCGTCGGCGAGGCGACCCCGCCCCCGAACCTCCCACCCTCCCGAGTGTCCGTCTCCTTGCCCTCGCCTTACCCCCGCCGCTGCTGCGCCCTCGCGAGCCGCTTCCGGGAGCCGGCGGCCCCGCGGCGGCACGCGTGGGTTTCCCTTCAG